CTTTGCTGACTCCTGTAATTCGCCGGTGGATCCCCGCGTCCCGGGTAGCCGCTTGTGAATTTTACGGTTATTCCGTGTAATCGAGGCCGGATCGACGCGCAGATGCGCGCTCGAATAGCCGTCGGGGGATGCTCCCCGTTGAAATTCACATTGCCGATACACCGGAGGGAAAAAATGGAGAGTCTCATTAAAATTGCAGTCATTTCCGTTCCCCGGCCGTATTTCCTTCATTGTTCGCTGTAGTGGCAATATACACGTAAGGTCGTTATTATTAACGCTGCAGTAGCGCTTACAACGAGAAAACGGTTTTCCTGACTATAATTATCATTTCGCTACGCGCGCGCACACACACATACACACACAATGATGTTCTCTATAAAAATACACTAATCGAAGCTAAAATCAAGTTGAAAGAGTTGACGGAGAAAATTAATTCGCCGGCGGGCAACGAATTTCACGCTTTCCCAGCAAAATCTGCCAGCAAAACGTTTCTATCCTGGCGACAAAACTGTTTCTGTTCTAATTACACATATTTCACTAATTTGGTTCCACGCAAACGAAATTTTATCACCGTCGCAACGAAACACGCGGTAACAAACGATGCGTTTCCTCTGCAACAGCGGAATTATTCTCCTCCGTGTTTAATTCCAGGTTTGCGTTTAGCAAACCGACCGTTCGGGATCTTTCAGTTTCGTCGATTTCAGAAAAAATCAAACTTGCTAAATCGGATGAAATTTCGCAATTGCAATTCCCGTACGCCGGATCGTCGGATATTTGCACGCAGTTTATGCGAGAAAATTCCCCGACGACCTCTCCCCTCTATTTTTTATTCAACGTAGTCAGAAACACTTTTCGAACGTGGAATCGCGACTATAGGCGGGCCACCCTATGCATTTCACAGGGCACCGACTCGCGCGAGATTCCGACCGGAGTGTCTCCCGGGTTAACTTCGAGAGACACTATCGAGTTCTTCGCGTGCGCCTTCTTTCTCGACCGCCCCTCCTCTCTCTCTCTCTCTCTCTCTCTCCTTGCATCTTTTATCGCGCGTCGAAGAATACCGTTGACAAAGTCGCGCATAAATCGCGGCTAAGTGCGCGGCCCAGCGTCCGGGCCGATATACGCGCCTTCGCTAATCCGTATTAATCGCCAGCCATTCATTAGGAAGTCAGCAATGGGTGCCGCGTAATTCTGCACCTGGCGCACTCCCGCGATCAATCGCGCGCGCTCGCTCGCTCCCTCGCGGCGCACCCCTCTTACCATAAATCTTACCGCTAAACTACGACTATACACCCGCGGAAGACAATGACCAAGTAAGCACGACAGCAGACCGAACAGCACGCTGTGTGTCCCTACAAGGGAGGCTCCGAAGAAATGTGTCTTGGCGGGTCGCTCGATGAGGGATAACGTCGCTACGTGCGCTCCGAGTGTGTACCTATCGCTACCGCCGGCAAAGTTTCACTTTTTACGAGGAACTCGTCAATCGTTATTGATCAAAGTGACTCGTTACCGTCACCCGTGTTGCGAAATAAATTTGCCACCGTTATCGCAGTTCAAGAAACAACAAGTCGTTACGATTTCCGCCGTTACTTTCCTCAACAAGCTCCCCTTTTTACGACACGCTACCCCGAATAAAGTAAAACCGCAGTGAAAAGCGCATTGTAAAATTTTCGCGGTAAATTTCTCGCGTACCACGTGCGCTGATTCAACCGTATTGTGCTTAGATTATTTCAATATTTACGGCGCAATATTTTACGTTGAGTCGATACCCGATATGTGTGAGTGTTAAAATCACGCGTTTCATTCAGTATCGGTTAACATATCACGGATATTAATCCTTGTTTGAATTTTTCACGCGACATTTATGTTACCTTACGACATATTTGCCTTGTATTAAATCGAACGTGGAAGTTCGTGCGGACCGTTCGGAACATGTGGAATGTGTTGAATTCAACACGAAATACTTTACAGTGTTAATATAATGTGAAAGCAACCGTGTTAGCCTTACTCGCGAAATGTAACAGCGTTATCCTTACTCTACTGATGAAAAGAGAAATAACGCCGTTACCAAGCCGTTACTGAAGAGAACGTCACTTGCGGTAACGACGTTACGAGTAACGTGTCACCTCTCTCAAGCTTGCCTATCGCCCGAGCGAAAATCAAATCCAACTAAATCGTTTCAGAGCCTGCCTCCTTCTCGCGGCTCTCCGGGGACTCGACGCACTCTTTCCTCGGGATTCGTCCCTTCCTCGCGCTTGCAATTTTCTCGCCGTCCTCTATCTCGCACTCGTTAAGCGTCAAGATCCGCTCATTTCGAGCTCGTCATCGTCCGCGGCAAACAAGTCTCCGGCGCTCTTTATCCGACTCTCGAGAGGAACGGGGACACTTAATCGGATCTTGAGATTCCGTTCGAGAAAGGTCTTTCGGTCTAACGTTTGCACCTCTGTCCTCCTCTCTCTCTCTCTCGATCCTCACCGTTATTTTCCATCTTCCATTGTTACCGCGCCGTGAAACAAAGGTAAACGCGGAGTCACGCGGTCGCGCGTAAGACGGCGCTTAATGGTGCTGGCGAGTCGCCAAATCACACCGCTGGCTCGAATGCACCGATTGAAATGTTCATTACCGTCGCAAATCGTCCGGTCGATCCGCGAGAGGAAGACCCGGCTACGCTACACGCAATAACACGAAATCGTTTGAGCGATATAATTCTCGCTCGGCGAGAAGCGTGTCTCAGTGAAATAAATGCTCTTATCGATCGTTTAATCGACACTTGAAACGCAAACATGACCGAAAGATCGACGATCGACATTAATCGTCACGACGATGAAATATTACAAAATAATCCTTGTTCTGAAAGAATACCGACCACATTCGACGTTCGCCGGAAGCGCGAGAATGTCAGCTTCCCGGCAGCGTTTACTTCGCGTCGCTTCGACTCCGAGAAGCGGAGGTATCGACCAGAGAATCGAACGGCACGCTCGATCGCTTCGGCGCGGCCGGGCGGCGCAGTGGCGACATCTGTCACGTGGCGCACAACGTCATCGTGCGAATGACCGCGCGGAATCTGACGCGACGCGTGAGTGGGGGCAGGTCCGCGCGTTCCGAGCTGTGTACGCGCGCTACGTGATGGAATGCGGCGTTTGTTAACTTCCGCGTTGTCGCAGGTCAGGAAGCCGTCGCTGCCCTCATCCAAGGCCCATTCATCCCACTGCCGCGCGCGCCAGCGGACGTTGCCTATATCGTACAGCGTCGTGGCGATACAGAGTGCGAGTCGGCTGTGACTTTAGAGGAATGTAATGGCTGAGAATGAAAGGAATAAGAAACGAGATCGCTATTTTTACTGTTTTCCGATGAATCTTTGCTTGTCATCCTTGACAATTTCAAGGTTTTTTAATAATTATCGATCGATTTAAACTGACTTTCACTTATACGTTGACGATTATCAGATATTTTGAAGGTTAACTTTCAGCTAACTACCAAGCTTTGTAAGCACACGAGTTATAAGGAATGAGAATTTTTTCGACGGAGTATTCCTCTAATTGTAGTTTCTTATTACTTTATTGTAGATTGAAGCAGGATTGACCCTGGACGCTTACGATAACGAGCGCAGAGCGGGTGAGATTAGATTAGATCTGCACTCGCTCCGTTCCTGTTGTCTGATAACCGTAAGAACAAAGCAAAAGCCGACCGTGGAATATAACAGTTATAGATAGGAGTGTGTACTATTCTTTCGAATTCTGACCTTATTCGTTCTGCACTCGTTATCGTAAACACCCATGTGTCGAAATTTGATTGCTTGCTCCTAATTTTTTGCATTGAATTCTTCGTTATTCTTCCTTATTCCTTTCATTGTATCGGAATTAATCCGCGAATGGAGCGGTGCAGAGACGCGCAACAAAAAGCGATCTCCTCGGCGTACGATCTCGCGCCCACCTCACCGTCGTTCCTTTATCGACGACCCCGAGGACGACACGCGGCCGTGGCTGCGGCCGAACGTCGCGATGGATTCGAATCGGGAAACTCAACTGCGTGCTCTGCCTATCTATCCATCTCTGTCTCTCAGTCGTGACGGATACCGCCTGGATTCTCTGCCTTCGTCCTTTTTTAACGGCAACGATAACGAGATCGATATTATTGCTGCAGATGTTGGGGGCGGAGGAATAATCCGTAAAAAGGCGCATTTCCTCGCTCGATCGAACGAGCACGGCTAATCTATTTGTTGTTTCATCGTTCGACGGCGAGTACCTTTTTAGTATCGCTCTGGCGCACAGTTCTCGGCGAGCAGGGTAATAGCCGAGTCGAAACTTTCGGACGAATTAATTTACGTTGTCGGCAAATATGGTAATTGTACACTTAACTTGTAATCAGCGCAGCTTGTAATTAATATTCAACGTTAACGTGCTTTCATATTACCGTAGGAATCTTAATGGAATGTGAGAACGGTAATCAAATATATGCGCACTGAAAAACCGAGAGTGTTATTTGAAAGCGCATATGCGTGTAATTTAGCTGACATTCTTTTTACGCGTCTCTATAAATCGTAACATATTTTTCAAGCGTGTTAATTCAGTACGTTTAAGCGTGTCGATGAAACACATTTAAACGTATTAGTTTAATTTAATCAGTCAACGTGTATTAATTTAATACATTTAAATATGCTCAGTCAAGTTGCGAGTATATATTTTTTTTAATTGATTCGACGGTGCTCGTTTTTGAAATTCTTAAATCTACGCGTCACTGTCTCTTTCGGCTCGTTCGGCCGCGCTGAAAACAAAACGCCACGATGAATCCGCCCTCGTCGAATCTCTTCGAGAGGTGCGTCGCGTCCGAAATGAAAGGTTTTCACGGCGCTTATTACGGCGATTCGCGAATTACGAGAGAAAGTCGCGGAACCGTCTTGTCGTTTATTACGGTTTCGCGAAGATGAAAGAGATATTTAGTCGCGCAGCGAATTGAACGATTCATTAACCGGGACGACCCTTTTTTTCTGTTTCTTGTTGCAGACAAAGCACCCTCGGAAGCGTCCTTCAGAGGGACCGAGTATCTCACGATAGACTTGAGCAAAGGGGACCCGGTGCTCAGTACACAGGAATCCATAAGCCTCCAGTTCAAAACGAGACAGCCGAACGGACTTTTATTTTATTCCGGTAAGTGCTCACCGTGCTTATATATGTGTGAGAATGTGTATGTCTGTCTGCGATTTCCTCCGCTGTAATAACTTTCCCTCAAGTGGCGTTTTCATTTCCACTTGCGAATTTAGTTGCCGAATACGCTATCGTTGCTCGACGAGCGAGAGAACGCAGCGCGATTCTCGGTGAACACTTAAGACGAAAATATCGATGGGTTGTTGGTCAACCGTTTCAAAATTGTACAAATCATTGTGCGGGTCGCAACGAAATCACCGACAATACGCTGATAGAGAAATATTGTTACCATACCAATTATATCTTCGACATCAATTATATTTTTTGTTCTTCTTATGAGAGAAGTGGTAGCGATATGCATATGTAATTATTGGACAAATAGTTGTATACACTAAAAGAAAAAAAAATAACCTCGTCAAAAAATAATAGTAATTTCCGACGCAAAATGTATATTTTATTGTTCTAATAAGAAACTTAGTAGTAGCAATATGTATATAAAGTTATTATTATTAGTATTGTTGTATTTTTATTATCTGAAAATAGCGTCTGCTACAACAGTGGGTTGAGGAATTATAATTATTTCATTATGTGATTATAGTCACAAATATGAAAATATTTTTCTGTCAGTGTAGCTGTAAATTTTCTAAGATAATAGAAATACGCTTCCAAGTCCAAAAGAAAGAGAAAGAGAGAGAGATAGAGAGAGAAATACGGAAGTATCCGAAACGCTCGGTCGGATGAACGCTGCTCGCCTAGCGTAGAGATTTCGCAGTGAGATTTTTGTTTCCGGGAGCGAACTATCGATCGTAGAAACGGACGATTAATCGAAAACAATTCGGGGGGGGGGGGGNGCCACAATAGAGTTGCATTTAATCGAGTAACTTGCGGACGGCCGGATATCCTTCGAGCGAATGCAGATAGACAATAGCGTCTTGGACAATGGTCGCATATTAAATCTTTGCGATAACTCCTTCTCTCGTGGCGACATTATAGCCAATTAGAACGTTCCAGTGGTACGGGTCGGCCGGAAGCGCGGCCAACCAGAGAAATTTTCCTTCTCTCTTCTTCCCCCCCCCTTCCTCCTGGCCACTTCTTCCTCCTTTCCATTTACTATTCTCATCGCTCCTCTTCTCTCCCCCTCTTCCTCCTCCTCTGCTTCCGCCTCCTTTTATTTTAGAACGCTATTGCACCGGCTTTTACTTGACCTCGATTAATCTTGGCTCCAAAAGTGTTTCGCGTTGAGCTTCCCTGGGCCGGTTCTCGCATCCTCCTCCTCTCCGCCTCCTCTTCCTTCCGCTATGCGTTATCGGCTTAAATTATCGAGAACTGATCGTTCAATTGATTTATCTCGCATCTCGCTTCAAAGTGCGCGCATCACGGCGCGCCGTCTGCGACGGCGATTCCCTGGGCGGGAGGTGTGCGAGTTAAAAGCGGAGTCGATTCGGGACGGACGGATGTTGCACGTCCTCTCGAATCAGATCCTCGATTTATCACGGCCTCCGCCGATCTTATCCGGCGCGTTAACAACGCGGGCGCTCGCATATTGCGGGCGCGCATGAACGCACCGGTTCACCGAGTATACTTACGTAATGAAGGGCGAAATCAGTGCAAGACGGCCGAGAGACTGCTGCACCGTCCTCCGCAGTAAAAGGAGGAGTTTGCACCTCCGGTTGCAGCGGCAACTCGAAACCTATATATCGGAGCCGCAATGCCGTACCACACACACCCACACACACACACACTTACACATATACACGATCACGTGCACACATACACACACACGCGCGCACACATACTTGTACAGATTCCACACACGCGGCACTCGTTTCTACCTTGCATCTCCGCGCTCGCCCCCAGGTCGCTCGTTTGTTCCCGAGATAAGCTATAATGCGGCCGTAGTCGTGCATATGGATTATGCGTATTTCCACAGTGCGGTACGCAATGAACATCGCGTAACTTTCGTTCTTCAAGATCGCGAAATCGCTATCCGCCACTCGGCCGCCGCCTCTCCCTCGCGGCCGGAATAACTTCCTTCGAAAGTTTTCGTTCTCTTCCGGCGCCTCTCTCTCTCTCTCTCTCTCTCTCTCGGCGTTTATACTGTTCTTGTATACGCGCGTCTCCTCCGCGTGCCTCTAACTGGCTCGCGTTGCGGTGCTGCGATGCGTTAAATCCGCATCGAAATTGTTTCGCTCGTCCGCCTTCGGTAGTAACTAGTCTGCAACACGGTTATGCAAAGATATTTCTCGAATATAATGGCTGGGATTTGGGGATTCGAGCGGCCAGCTCTCGTCCAGGGAATAGCGCCGGCCGAAATACACTCGCTACAACGAATAACAATTTCGCGATTGCCCGTGTACGTGTGTACTCGTCTAAATGTTATTCGCGAGTGACACAATTATTAATCGCGTCCTAAAAATCTCGCTCGTCTTTCGGCGTGTAAAATATTCGCCGCGCGCGGAAACGATTCGCTCGATATTCGCAGGTAATATTACAAAGGTAATTGTGTTTTTTTCATATCCTCACGAATACCTCGAATTACTCGCGTACGTGTACGCGTACGTGTAATCCCTTTATACCCGGGACAAGAGGACCGTGTCGGGAAACGGCCGGGCGAGGGGGGGAGGGAGGGGACAATAAAATGAAGATAAAAAGGTTACTTAAGCTAAAAATGCAACAATTTACCCGTTATTCCATGCACGAGAGAGATGAGATCGAATGATAATATACTTATGCGACACAATTTGTATCTTTCCGCGCGTAGGGGAAATTTGCGCGAGAATTAGTGCCGCAATTGTGGTAACGTAATAACGAAATCTATGGAAAACCAAATGTATATTCCGAAGCTTTGTTTATACAGGATTCGTTGGGCAGCTTTTTCCCGATAACGGGCCGTTTTATACATTTCCTCGGTACCGAGAGACCTTCGTAAGAGATAACGATGGAAATCTCTTATTCTCGGAAAATTAGCCCTGAGGATCGACGCAAGTCGTTATATCGCCTTCGAAATGGGACGGTCAAGAAATCGCATGCAAGGGGTAAATCTGTAGAAATCCGAGGTTCCGAGTTCCACTAGCTGATCGACAGGACACGTCAAGACCCAAATTGTCCGTTGCGCTAGGAATTACCTTAAAGGTTTTCTTAACGATTTGATTGAGTCAAAATTGCCCCCTACTCCTTCTCCTCTGTCCTTTCTAAAGAAGTATATCTATTGTGAAGTGAGACTAAATCGAATTTTTTCCACATACATTATATAAGCTGTCCCGAAATTAGACCGACAAACTTCGGATGCTTATTAAGAACATCAAGTAATTTTTATCCATGTCCGCAAAGGAGCCGCTTTGCCGCAACATGGAAGAAAAATACTGTCGAATCAATAAAATTTCCAACAGCAGCGCAATTGGAGCAGATCTCCTTGATTCAATGGTAAATATCATTAAAGCTACTACGTTGTGTATTGTTTCAATAAATAAAGTATTAGTTTGAATGATATCGCAATTGAATCAAGAAGATTTACTGCAATTACGCGTGCTGTTGGAAATTCCATCGATTCAACAGCATTTTTTTCCACGTAAAGTAAATTATTTACAGCAGTTGTTCGAGGTGTCCATTTACTTCAATTCAGAGATAATGGCAATTTTTTATGGATTTTATTATTGTCTTTTGATAAAAAAAATTTTAATAAACAAGCTTTATTAAATTGAAGATTTTTGGGAATTTTCAAACAGGTGGAATTAATATTGCTTGTTATTAACTCAGGAGTTCAATATCACAGCGTTTTTTTTTGTTATTTACCCGAAATTCGTTCTCAAAATAGAAATTTTTTCTTCTGATAAACTGGCCGACCGACATTTTATTTATAGGGAAATTAGACGTGTAAATGACTAACATTTCAAACAACTGCTGTAAATAACTCTAGTGCCAAAACAGCTCATTTGCGGACATGAGCTGTTGTCGACAAAAATTTGGTGTCGTTTTAGTGTCCCTCATAAGCATCCGAAGTTTGTCGATTCTAATTTCGGGACATCCTATATAATTGCGCAAACGTATTAATATTCAAATGACACTGTCTACCGAAATCCGTGCTTTGGCTTTTAGACGCTCGTAAATTCTCCCTTCCTTTAGACCAAGTACGAACAGCCTCTCAATATTTTAAAACATTTCCCTCAACCCCTCTCCTCTCTGTCCTTTCTCTCTCTAATTAGTCGGCACCCTAATCAACCATAAGAGAAATAACTGTTACAGAAATGCCATATTATTCTTCTCCGAATTTGGATGAAGTGAATGAAAAGAACGTTGGCAAAACTGTGGAAAACCAATCCGCAAGAAGGTCGGCTCCCGCGTTGGGGCCGACCTCAGCAACGAATTATCTCAAAGTCCCTTCGACGCGCGTTAAAATAAAAAGGAACAATTTTTTAGAGAGGGCAAAGGTTTACCTTCGGAGACCGTTCGGATCGGGGAACGAGTAATCGCGGCGGAAACGAGCTGGCTGCCGATTTCCCGCCGGATCCCGCGGCGCCACACGGGCGTTATCTTCGCCGGCGCGTAACGCGCGCGTTATCTCGTCGTCCGTTTTCAGATAGCGATCCGAGCGTTGTGCAAATAAACGGACCACGCGGCGACGGCGAGCGCGGCAACGCGATACGCGCGTAATGCACTTAGGCGCATGCAAATGCGCGGACTCTGCGCCGCGTCGCGCCGCATCGCGCCGGCGGCAATTAAGTCCGAAGTACCGTCTGCATCTTTTATACGCTCCAGTCCCCGGCCTGCCCGCGAGATAATTAGTATGCGGTCGCGGCCCGATTTTAAAGCGACTGCGGTAATATCCGAGGGTGGCGTTTGCGAGATTCACGAGCGTAACGACACGTCCGCGCGCGGCGCCCGTTTGCGCGCCACCGGTACCTCTTTACGCTCCCCCTTTGCCGCGCTGCTCTTGTCCGCGAAGCTGTGGGAATAATAGCTATTATTATATCAGCTCGAGGGGGGAGAGAGAGGGGCGAGCGGGAGGGGGAGGGACGAAACGCATATACGGAATCTTAATTTATTCGCCGGCGTCCACGTCAGATCGTTATTTTTTGCACTCTCGATCCTGTCCGAGTGGAGAAACGCCGATCGCACTCGCGTGAGCAAATATTTTCCGGCATACACACACACACACACACACATACGCGATTTTTCACAAATAATTTTGCATAAATCTCAGCGTCGACGACTTCGCTCCATGTACGATTGCATATATCGGTCTTCAGTTAGAAAGGCACTGGTTTATAAATTACGTACGGAGAATATAACTTCATTTAGGATGGATTGATGATATATCGACGAAACTGTTACTTTATTAACAGATGAAATTTGGAGGAGGTCCAACGTTAATGTTCATTATTATGTACACTGGGCCTTGAAAGGTTAACCGCGAAAATACACTCTCTTTTTCTCTCTCCCTCTCTTTTTTTTTTTATTTATTAATGTTCCGAATATTAGGAGAGCAATAACCCAGATTCCTTTATGAAAGTTTCACACGCAACATTCTTATCTCTCATAAAAACACTCGAGGAACACCTGATTTATTTGATGTACCATCAAGCCGTACCGAAATGTTCAAACGCTCTTTACGTTGTTGCGCTACCAGATTATGGTGCGGTCTACCCTCTGAGATACATAATGCACGAAACACAGTTTGGGAGAATTTAACACAGTCTTTTATAATTTTTTATTAGAATGAGACGTATACAACTACCCTGTTTACAGTCTTCTGGGATTATGGCTTTTCCTTCCTCAACATTGCCTTACCAATACTTTCCATGCACTCCGCTTATTTCCCTTAATTGATCAACCGATTTGTATCTACATGTTCACTTAATCTATTGCCTCGACATACCTGACCTTTCGATTGATTGTCTTAACCTAAATTATAACGTTCGTGATTTAAATTAATGATTGCTACATACGTATTACCTTTATCGGCTTTACTCTCGTAAAGATATTATTTCAATTTGAATTTTATGTTACTTTATAGTTGTGCTTGAACGGAATCTTCCCAAGACGTGTAATAAATAATGCTCTCCTCTCCTCTCTCTTCACCTCTCTCTCTCTCTCTCTCTTTCTCTCTCTCTTCCTCCACCCGGAATCGTCTTAATCCTCCGACTAGTTACAAGTACTACGACATAATCCGCGAGGATTTCCAAGAGCGGACGCCGAGCGATAATTATTAACGACGACCGCCGGCGGACGTTTTAACCGGACACCCGGATACTAAGTGCCTCGAAACTGACGGTTAAGCGGCCACGTAATCGATTTGCACGCGTCGCTTCGCGATGTGATCCGCCGGGTGAGTTTGACGACCACGACGCGCCCCGGGAAAAATGGGCCGAGGGCCGCGCCGGGGAGGGGGAGGGAGGCGATGTACATCATCGCGTCCGTGCGCGGTGCGCGTGTCGCCACGGGAGATTAAAAAGTTACAACGGAATCTGCGCTCGCGTTGCCGGTCTCTTTTTTTTTCCTCCGCTCTCTTCCAAAAAGCGCGGTGCGGCCGACGTTAACGGGTAAAAATGCGGAATCGCGCCCGATGGACGATAATGTACCACCCATCGCTGGTATCCTCCCCCCTTTCCCTTCCTCCCCCCGTCGCTGCCGCGTTACACAGAGGCGAGTTCGTGACGTTTCGTAGGTTTTACGCTTTTTTCACCGATTTCGCCGTCGGCCGTCGTCAGTCGCGTTAATTCAACTTCGGTGTGTGCGAGCGCGCGCGTTATTATCCGTTCTCGAAGCAGAAAGAACGGCGAAGGGGGTGTGAGAAGATAAGGATTCCCCAGGCGCGAACGAGACGCTGTTCGCGCGTACACCGCCGCGCGACTTCATTAGTCCCCGTTTTTAATTACAGGAGAGGGCGATGATTATCTCACCGTGTCGCTGAGAGACGGAGGCGCCGCGGTCGGGATGACACTGGCCAAAGGAAGATTGGATCTGCACATAAAGCCGACCAAAGTGCGGTTCGACGATAATCAGTGGCACAAAATCTCCGTCCACAGGAAGGTTCAAGAGGTAAGGATCGTTCCTTTTTTGTCGTCTTTGTTTCTGTCTTTCCTATTCGGCCGATTCAGACGAGCGCGGCCGACGGATCGCTCGTTGCAGGAATGTTCGATCGGACGCATTGAACTTCGGTAAAGTCTCAACATTTGCCAAGCCATGCCTCATCGCTCTTTCTAATCGTCCCCGACGTGTTTAGATATGGTATGATAATAATTGTCTAAATTGTCGAACTGTCGAAATAGTAGATTGATCGAATAATCAACACAGTGAAATAAGAAACCTTCAAACTAACTTTGAATTATAAATTAAGATTAATTAATTGAGTTAAAATTAAAATTAGTTACTTTCGACGTTAATTATATATTTTCTTTTTATTTTTCCGATAAGGAAGGGTAATAGTAATAATGTGCATATAAAGTTAATATTTCATTGAAGCTGTGCTAACAATGATTACAAAGCTATGTGAATTTTGGCCTGGTAAATGTTAGGGCTTTATTAAAGAGGCTTTATTGAAGCCTTGATGTACGTTGGAGCGACGGATAGGCGTGTCTCTGACATTAATGTCGAATAATGTCGACGGGAGCGCAAAGATAATGCCCGGCCATATGAGTTATCTCCCTCGATGGAAGGCCGGCCGATATATTCGGCGAGCGAACGTACGATGCGTCGTCTAAGTCTGGGCGCTGCCAGCAGCTTGTCCTTCCGCTTTTAAATGTCCAATTTTAATGGCCGGAAAGTGGAAAATCCGATGCAGTCCGGACGCTGAAGGCGTTAAATTTTCACACTGTCGCGATCCAAATGGATCGGCGAACGGACGTGAGAGCAATTTCGTTAATACCGTGGGTATACACCGGCATTCATCGCATATTACGCACCATAGGATAGATAACGCAATTATTTGCGCGCTGCCATCGCGAGTTCCGCGAGTCCCGGTACGACGTGAGTTTATCAGTTTATCGCGACGATATATCGGCGGCCCTTGCCGGATCGCAAAGCATGTCGCAAGTACGTTGCGATAATTAACTGTAAACCGTAGTTCGCTTCGTTAACCCGCAGTGAGCGGTCGCGGCTACACGTCAGCGTTTTGCCTCACCTGCGTATTCGTCTGTCTTGTTCTTTAACACGAGCGACGCTCGAGATCTTCATATAACAAGACATAGACGTTGAATATGGCGAGACAGCGAAGCGTTAATCTGACGTTCGCGCGATTAACTTCAGCTTGAATTTCATTTCAGTTCGACTTGTTTTTATTTCTAATATCGGCCCGGGGAACTAAAATTATGATAGGATCGAAAAGTGGCATGGCGTTGGTAATGCAACAATTTATTTGTTATTTCGCGCATGTGAGATCGTATAAAATAAATGTAAACGACGCGAAAGTGGAGAAAAATTAATTGAAATATATAAATATATATAATAGATTTATGTAACACATATACATAATATAATATCTTTTATATATCCGTACGTGGAGGAAAATATTTACAAAAATTGATATCGAGGTTACAGCGCGATAACGAAATTTACATGTCAAATTCGATCAAACGATAAATCGAACAGATTAACATAATGTGGACTGGTCTGTTGCGAAAGGAAATTTTACAAAATGGTTTACCGTGATGATAACATGAATTTTGCCGGACGGGATCGAATAAAAATAAATCGCAAAATTTAATACGATATAGATTGTATTTAAATGAGATGGGAGAGATATTTACAAAATCAGTATTATCCTGGCTATACGACACGATGATAAAGAGTTTTAATGAACGTTAATATTATTTTACTGTCAAGTGACACTTGTAGAAAAATCAATTGTTAAAAGGGTAATGCAGAAGAATGCATAATAGAAGAATAGAAGAAGAAAGAAAAATGCAATTTAAATTCTTAAGATGCAAAAGTGCAGACGACCTCAATTATTCGCCCGTTGCACAAAGTGTGCAGCGTTAACAGAAGGCGCGATCGGTCGAGGGGACCCCCTGCACACCAGTTGGATTTTCTAAGCTTATCTATTTCTGCCCAGTCGTTCGTTATCTTGTATCGGGTAGGGAATGCGCCACTCCGTACACGGTCGCGATTTAGGGGCTGCGGATGTGCAGCGCGTGAATTAGGTCGAGAACAGCGTATAGTCCGGACTAATGTCCGCGGCTGCTTGGATAATTTTCCCGAGCACACGCTCTTCTCTCGAGTCGCTTCCGCAGCTGTGTAAACGAGCTATCGATTTCCCGGGCGTGTGCCGAAAGATCGTCTCCCGCTACTCTTCAGACCACCGAAATATTTAGCAGACAGGGTAACCCAAGGGTTCCGTAGTTCCCACGAAGGCGCACGTTTGGAAGTGTCTAATTATAGGTATCATTAGCGAAAATATTTTTAATTGACTCGTAGTCTCCCCACGAGAGTGAAAACGGACACTTGTGACGAGCAGGAGCGGGGGAGGAGGTAATAAAGGAAAAAATCTCGGAGAAGGTCAAAATATGAAGAACCTTGAAAAATGAGTGAAACTCGCGTGCATTCCGAAAAGACACTTGAAGAATTCAAACTGCTCAATCAGCCGTGTACCACGAAGTCGTGGCGAAATCTATCGCAGGAACGTAGCTTAAATATTTGGAGTAAGCCGTCGCGCTTTCTTTTTAATCTATGCATTCTTAGAGATCCCTTTACTGGAGGAAAAAAAGGGGGAAGAAAAGAGAGGCATTGTCATTCCTGGCGATGATCTCTTCTTGTCGTTCCAACAAAAAAGTAGTAATAGCAATATGCATCACTACATGCGATTGTAGTTATTGGCGTTACTACAAATTATAAATTTCCTCTATTTTCCGAACAAAATGGTCAATATGATTTTGAAATTTATGAATAATTTCTGAATAAATTTAATCCTTGATGTCGCAACAGTTTTTCATTAAAATTCGAACCGTAGCTTAGAAAGAATTGAAGGTAAAAATAAGACATTAATCCCAAGGAATACGAATAAAAAGTTTCGTCTTTAGTTGCGAATACTTCAGCTTCCGAATGGCCGACTTACAATTGTGCCGATAATTACGTCACATTTAAATCCATGTATAATTGCAAGATTCAACTAATTCTTAAAAGAAAAAGCTCATTTCATGCTACATAACAATCGGAATTCTTATACTTCAGCATTGACCGATTCCTTCCCTCCTCCTTCTCTCTCTCCACCTAACCACAAGACTTCGTGTGTTCCCGCGACCCCTCCGGACCGCTGAAACGGCTAATTACCGCTCCCCGCCGACTATGATTGGCGCGTTAACGAGTCGGCGATTTACAAGCAACGATAACACGATATCCGCTCGCGTAGTCCGCCGTGAGTTCGCCCGCCGGGACGACCGGTTTTTACGGCGCTGATAGCCCGGGGAGAGGGGGGGGAATAAATTTCGGCACCGCCGCAAATTGTGTGTCCGACAGACACACACCGTGGCATACCGTGTACCGGAAGACACGGCGGCGGGCCGCGCGAAACTTGGAGCTCTCCGTCGAAAGTTTGACAGTTTCAATCTAGCCTATACGTAGGCAAGTTCACTCGCGCACTCCTTGATAACTACCACCACCAGCACCGCCGCCGCCATTGCCGCACCTCCTCGCTATCTTTTCCACCCTCCCAACTTGCAGCCACGTCCGAAATATGGTGTCTTCGGCGACAACCGAGGATCGATGGGCTTCCGTGTCGCCGACAGGTATCGCATGCGATTCCGAGGCGCCGCCGTTTAGCCGTATCGAGTTAGCGAAATTATAATCCCGCCGTAATCGTAATCGTTAAACGCGCGCGCTACCGCGCGATGGCTGTTCTCGCGCCCCTTAGACGACTCCCTTTAACCGGCACGTGTGAGCCGACTTAACAAGGAGCCCGAGGAGAGGGGCGGGAGGAGGCCTCTTATCGTTCTGATTTCTCTCGTACACGATCGTTAAGTAATATTAATAGCGAATTAATCGATACTTTAATCGCCAGTAATCACGAAGGTGCGCGACATTTATGGCGCCCCGCGCGTTCGAGCGCATTTATTATTTATTATCGCGCTCTAGTTATCTCTGCTTACTCGATGAGTGGCGATATCTCTCCACGCGATGTTTCAATACGCACACGCGCACACCGGCGGATACACGCGCGCGTTATGTAACAGCACAATCGCCGTGCGAAGCGCGTGTATGCGACGTGTATCTCGGACGGCTCAAAGCGCAAGTAATTGTGTTCGTTTCAATAGCGGAAGATAAATACGAGACGGCAAACGGCGGCGGGTGTATCGCGCCGGCGCGATTATTTCCCGGTTTCGATGCACGCTTACGGCGGCACGCGGCTTCGCTGTGGGAGAAAATAAGAGAGGGGGGGCGGGGCGAAAGGGGACAAGTAGCGTTCGCGTTTATCGTGTAAAACACGCACGCCGCTTACGCTCGCGCGCATTTTGTTCGATATTATGTGCCGGCTTCGCGGAAAGTGCCGCCGACTCCGCGGAGTACCGACGTGACCGTTCATACGAGTCTGGAATTATTAATAATGGCACCCGCGCACCACCCGCGTCCGGCTCACCCCGTCGAATCGTCCCGCTATTACGGGATATTAAATTTCCAGAAATTGTCCGTTGCATTCTCCATGCGGCGAGGACGCTTCACGTGTGCGGAAACGTCCGTACGATCGACACCGATGCGAGAAACCTGCGCGGTCGATCGCGGGGATCTCTGAAAAGGGTGGACAGAAAAGGAAAGGCAGATAGAAGGATAATGTGGGAGAGAGAGAGAGAGAGAGGGAGAAAAGAGGAAGCGAAAGTCGCGGAAGAAATACAGATCGGCCCTTTAATAAGCGGACAGCCGCTTCCACGTGCGAGAGATAGAGATAGAGACAGGAATGATAGAGGGTTAAGAAAGGAGACACGTATGCGCGGGATTAATCGCCGTCTTTCATCGCAAAACGAGAACTTTCTCGCCTTCTCTCTCTCTCGCGAGCGCGAGCGCGCTCGACAGGGTGTGACGTTGCCCCGAGGCTCTCGCGCTTTCCGGCCGCA